TTTTGTATGGAGTATATTTTATTTTGTTATATTTTTGTAGTTCCATAAATATTAAGTAAACTGAAAATTTTTAAAATAAGTATAAATATTTTTTTACTGTTTTAATTATATTTTTTTATAAAAATTCGAAAATCTGTTTTTTGGAAATACTGGAATTCGAAAACCGATTTGTTCAAAAGTCGGTTTTTGTATAAACCCTAGAGCCTAAAAGTGATTGCATCACGTAGACCTGTCTCTGAACAGTCGACAGAACGTGAAATATCCGTTTCCACTTACCGTATTGATGTGCGCCATCTAATTTGGGAATTACCGATTCGAACTGCCAATATATACAAGAACCTCGAATAATGGCGCTCCAAATCTTTAAATATTCAGATTACGAATGTCGCGAAGCTGACAGACACCAGATATTAAAAAAAAGGCTGAGTATAGCCACTTACCATCACTGTCAGAAGATACGATCCCCATTCATTCAGCAGATCTTTCTTAACTGTAATCGTCCCTGTGTTTGTGGCGACGTCGTCTTGGATAGTGAACAGATCCCAACCCTTTGGTGGTTCGACGTCTGTGAGCGTATAAGTGAGCTTTGCGTTTTCACCGGAGTCGGCATCGTCTGCCGTCACGTAGCCGATAAAGACGCCCTGGAATCAAGGGAACGAGGTAACTTATTACCAAGCACTCCTTTATTTTCGGGGAACTTAATTAATTCTTACATCGCAGACTGCAAGATATAAAATGCATTTTCTCTGGACAGTAGTGGAAACGATAAGAAACAAAATTGAGTTCTTGTCACATGTAAATGTCTATAATGGGATTTGAGGTTCTTGCTGCCTCCATCATCAGGGTTCTGATGAAAGAGGCTGCAAGGACTTCTGAAACGTCGGTGAACTTCTACCAAAATACACTCAGTAAGAACCCAGAAGGCAACCATCTTCTTAAATTTCTTTCTTTATATTTCATTAACTTCGAGTATGGTCTGAAATAAGAATTTGTATTCAGTTTTTACGTTGTGCTTGGAGCAGGCAAGTAGAATGCCTCATTGGCTGACATCAGAAATATTGTGTACGTTCCGTATTTTATAACGAGATGCAATACAATAGAATGTGTCATGATGTCTCAATATAAGTTAAAGCCAAGAAACACAGTAATCACAATAGTGTATTAGCCATTTGAATCATAGAAAAAGTTACATAATTGGCATTACCTGGCCATCTAGTTCGGAGACTGTAGCCAGAACTCCACCTCCATTCTTAATTACAGGTGCTTTGTCGTTCACGTCTTCTAAGTTGATGGTAATACTTGTCGTGTCACTTGAGCTGTCAGCTGTTGGTTAAGAATAACACACGTACTCAGCGCACTGTGTTTGTGTCATTAAGGTTCATGGCATTCTTTACGAGTTGAGGAATTATTTCACAAGTAGTGACTGGAGTAATTGTTGGGATGCCACGGAGAAACCGGGGAAGCCCCCGGAGGAAAACTCCGTGTTGCGTAGACCACGGCCTTGGCCAACACAAGTTATACCGCCGGGAATCGAACCCGAGACCTCAGGATTACAAGGCCAGCGTTCTAACCGCTATACCACCTCATCTTATTATTATTTAGTGTTCTGTCTGACGACAGGTCCATATGAACAGGATCCTTCCATCCTTTTCTCGGACTGGGACCTGTTCATATACGTTCTTGGCAGATGATCCAGAAGGTGTTTGCCATTTCCTTCTTCTGTGTGAATGGAGTAATTGTTGGGACGCCACGGAGGAAAACCCCGTGTTGCCTAGACCACGGCCTTTGTCTGACGACATGTCCATATGAACAGGATCCTTCCATCCTTTTCTCGGATTGGGACCTGTTCATATACGTTCTTGGCAGATGATCCAGAAGTGGTTTGCCATTGCCTTCTTCTGTGTGTGAATGGAGTAATTGTTGGGATGCCACGGAGGAAAACTCCGTGTTACCTAGACCACGGCCTTGCCCACCACAAGTTATAAATTCGGGCACCGCCGGGAATCGAACCCGAGACCCCAGGATTACAAGGCCAGCGTTCTAACCGCTAGACCACCGTGGATTGAAAAGTAGTATTTAGTACACGTTAATATGATACTTGGCGAAATAAGTCAGTTAATATAGTACGAGCTTTATGTTTAGAGTAATCCTCGTAAATTAATTCGTTTTATCATTAAAGGTCACTTACATTCTAATCAGCGTACTTGACTATTAAATATGGCTGATTTTAAAGCTTAGTTCTTAAGATGCGACTCGAATTGATTATGGGCTCTGTAGAAAAAAAATGGCGACATTGTTTATGAATGTAATATATTAATAGCTAAAAGTTTTGATCCTGAGTTTTTGAGTGCGTGATAGTATGACGGCGATTGTAAGCGTAGATTACAACACGGATTTCCTCTGTTGTATGGACGTTATTGATTTCTGATCTATTGGACTGCAGTTTTAATTTTAAACTTTATTCAATCAGGTATGTGCTTTATAAATACAATCCAGCGTATGAATGGGGAGTTTAAACACGTGACGTTGTTTTAGGCATCGAAGTCTTTGAAAATCCGCTCAGTCAAGATAGATCCCTACTTTCTCCTACTTTCTCCCACTTTCTCTGCTACATTTCTGTAATTTAACTTGCATTCATTTCTTTGCAAATTTACGCAAGCAGGTTAAACGTAGGCCTTCTATAGACATTGCATTTAATTAATCGTTGGATGCTGCATAATCCGCTCTAGCGACAAATTGACTTAAAATACCATAACAGATGTCTCCCTCGTTGCATCGGTCCCTGACCGTGATCTGGACGATGTGACTACGAGCAGCTTCGTAATCCAGTCTGTTGCTGTCGCCTCTGGGCACGAAAACTTCGCCGGTAACAGGATCGATGTCGAAAATTCCTCTGTATCGTTCTTCCAGCTCGTACCTAAGTGTGTTGAACTCCGCTGCAAACAACAAATTTCCATTGAGAAAAGAGACAACCAGAAACCTGGGCATGGGTGAGAACATAATATTAAATTAATATGTTGTAGCCCTGATGATGGAGGCAGCAAGGACCTCCGAAACTTCGGTAAACTTCTACCAGACTACACGGCGGAACAACCCAGCAGACAGCCGTCTCCAGACTCACAGCTCATACGTAAAAATTTCTAGGATGAAATCATTTAAATTCATTTTCGTGAGACAGTGCTGCCTCCCCCGGCTAAAATATGAGGTACGGCATATTTTGAACTAGAGAACTAGCAAAAATTTTGAAGAATAAAAATTATAACTTCTTATGGCTTGTGTGGATTGTGGTCATCTGGGTTGTGACGTCATGTAGTCTTATAGATCGTTGTAAACATTTCCAAGGTATGTGCTTAATCCATCTTTTCTTCTTCCCTGAAAAAGATGACAATATCTTCTCCCAAAACTCTGACAACTACACCTTAAGTTGGAGTAGACACATACCTCCGAAACGTCGGTAACCGCGCACAAGAGCATATGCCGTTGGGGCAGAGAAACGACGATCGATGTGCCTTAAACTTGTTTCCGAAAGTAATATTGTCTGTGGACTAAAATGAAAATGAAACCGGGGAAGCCCCCGGAGGAAAACTCCGTGTTGCCTACACCATGGCCTTGCCCAACACAAGTTATAAATTCGGACACCGCCGGGAATCGAACCCGAGACCCCAGGATTACAAGGCCAGCGTTCTAACCGCTAGACCACCTCATCTTATTATTATTTAGTGTTCTGTCTGACGACAGGTCCATATGAACAGGATCCTTCCATCATTTTCTCGGATTGGGACCTGTTCATATACGTTCTTGGCAGAGGATCCAGAAGTGATTTGCCATTGCCTTCTTCTGTGTGTAAATGGAGTAATTGTTGGGATGCCACGGAAGAAAACTCCGTGTTGCCTAGACCACGGCCTTGCCCAACACAAGTTATAAATTCAGGCACCGCCGGGAATCGAACCCG